AATTTGAATTTAATTTTTTAGTGCATTTTCTTTCAGTTCCTTTACTGCCTAATTCCCCCTGTTCATAGCTAGCTCATTTCTGTGGCTGGCCATCTGTCCTATGGATTTGACAATTCCCTGGTGAGGTCCTGGCAACTTATTTCTGATGAGTGTTGATTTTGGTGTGATCACCTAAGGAAATGAGGCTTATGCAATCATGCCCTTGTCATGCCTAGAAGATTGACTACTACACTAATGGTGTTTCAACCAGTTGGCCAGTGTCAAACAGACTTAACAGAGTGGTAGGGCTCTTGGAAAGACTTGGTTTTTAAAGGATTATAAAAATGAGCAGATGAGTAAAAATTCTAACTGTGCCCCCTGCAGTGGAGAAGAGTGGAGATGTGTTACACTTGACATTAGACACAGTGAGCCTAGAGTCCTTCTGTGCATGCCATAGCTGCAGAAAAAGCTTTAGTCTGAGCTCCTTCCTCGTTAGGCAGTGACATCCACGCTGTGCACGCCCACAGAGATGAGACTGTACGTAGTTCCTCTGTTCATACAAGTCTTCTCCAAGCTTACTCCTGAGCATAGGAACACACCAACTGGTTTGAGGCTTGCTGTTTATTTCAAGAATATGTCAAACTCCTTCCATTATATAAAGTTGTTTCCCTGGACATGTCGTAATCTCTTGTTGGCTTTGCTGTGGAGTCAGGTGACACAGAAGTTCAGAGAGGCAGAAGTCTTTGCAGCAGCAGCTCACACCTGAGTCCTGGCGTTTGCTGCTCCGAGACTGATCGCTGCCCTCTTGTAATGGTAGAGAAGGTGCTTGTTCAGTAGAAGCCTGTGATTTTTCACAGCTACCACTGAAAGCCATCTCGCCTTTTCCTGGATTCTGGATGCAAACGCATTTTGTCTTATTAATAAATGCAGTGCAAAATTACTTTTGTAGCATCTGTTGTGCATCAATCCCTCCTCAAAACCAGTAAGAAATTTTGCCGCAGGTGCTAATCTGCACAGCGTTACAGCAGGTCAAAAGGGTTGATGTAGCAGAGCTTATTAAGAGTGAAAAGTGTTGGATTGATAGTTGTTGCTTGGATAAAGCAGAGGCTGTTCCCCAATCTACAAGAGCCTGGGACAGCATCAGTTGCTGATGTGATCCTGGCAGAACGAGCTTTGTTGCTGAGGCTGTAAACTTTCAGGTTTACTAAACTGAGATAACTTGCAAAGGAATGTTCTGTGTTTATCTGAAAGGGGAGTCATGTTTTGGCCTAAAACTAGAAATTGTTTTGGGATGCTTGCAGTAGTGAGTCCTGTCAGACTGGGTCAGTGCTTCATGGACATTAACTTCTTCCTGTAGTCTTTTATTTTTACATACAACATTCGTTTTACATGTTTATTAATACCTGTTTTCATGTCTGTATTTTCAAGTATTTCATATGTAAGTAGCTTCCAGTTGTGAGTGTAGGTGTTTCACTCGATACCTGCAGTAGGCATCAAAATGTGTACTCAGATCCTGAATGTTGTTTGGACACCCATATTGGCACCATTACTACTGAAGGTCCGAGTCCCAGCCTTGGTTCGTAGCAGTGTGAAACAGAGATCTCAAAAATTAGTTTGGAGATGGCAGTCCTCCCATACCACATGGACTAAACAGAGATACAGGGATGCGTTTTTGGGAACGAAAGGAGCTGTCTTTAGGCATGTTTGACTGAAGTGTGTTGGTCCTTGTGAGGTGTTTATGCTCCTTGTGTACCTGAGATGAGTGCATGTGTCCTATGCCTGCTCACTTCTTGGGTTTATGGAAATATGTATGTACACGTAGGAAATACTAGCACATTGTACATGTTTGTGGATGAAAGGCAGGTTATACAAAGTGTGTTATTGACAGCACTACAAATGACAGAAAGGTGCAAAAATCACAGGAGACTTCACATCCATCTGTGGGTGACTGAGGATTTATTTGGACGTTTTATGTTCTGATTCAGCATTCATGAAAGCCACAAATTTAGTTATAAACTTACTTTGAAGGAATCATTTATGAAAACTTTAGGATTTCTGGCTAAAACATTGTTTAAAACTTAAATGCTTAGAAAGATTTTGATTGTCATGTTTTGAAAACATGGGTGTGACAGGTGGGAAGGGAGGATGCGTATCCCTTGTTTCCAGCATGAGGCAAGAGAAAATGGTTATCTAGTCCTTTGTTTCTGTAATTTCTTAGTTTCTGTGGCTACAAGTCCTGCAATTCAAACTGTCCTCAGTGCTGCGATGGTCTATGTATACAAGAGCTGACCTTATGTTTCACGTGGGTTAGAATGCAGCAAGCAAAGAGCTGAGTTTCAGGCTGTAGTTATGAATTTCTTGCACTCTTATAGGTTTTAATTCGGCTTCACGTTATTTAAAGAAAGGGGTTTTTTGTGATTTAATTGAGTAGTCAGTGTGAATTTTGTGGTGTTCATGTACATGCAAGGGAGAGGGAGATTTTCTAAGTGTTCAGTGTTCACATGGACATAAACAGGTGGGTTTCCAGCAGAGACATTTGCATTTGAAAACCTGCTCTAAACGGGCTGGGCTTTCCCAGGAGAAGCAGCACCAGCAGTGAAATGCAGCGATCGATCAGCATAGAATTGTGTGAGCATTTGATGGGCAAAATGTTGTGGTATAAAGACAGGGCCCAAGAATAAGCTCTTTGTGGCTTTGTTTCATTCCTGAAAACTGTGACTGAGAGGCTTTTATCATTTAAAAAAAAATTCATCAGCCACATTTTAGCTAACCTGGAAATATCATGAGATCCTTTGCAACATTCTAAGTGCTGTTTTTTTAATCCAATTTTGATACTAAAAAAAAAAATAAATCATGCTTTTCATTTCTGTCTACTTATATTTCCCCAGTTCTAAAAGTAAAGTAATATCTGAACCATTCCTTTCAGTCACAGAGCTGAAAGCATGTAATTTAGTGTACATAACGATAAACTCTCTTTCCAGCAGCTTGCATTCGCTGTGTTTTCTTTCTTTCCTAATTTTAACTAAGGAAAACATTCCCGTGCTTATCACAACACTTCTGTTACATGCCTCGTTTTTCAGGCCAAGTTCTTTATGGTATTTGGAGTTTATTTTAATTCTTAATCAAATGAGCTGTCCAAGAAATTAATCTGAAAAAACCATACATAATGACTGCTCAAATACACACCAATGGGGACACCTGGTGGAGAAGCTACGAGCTGCCCAGCACACCCTGCATTAAACCCACGCGTGGGTGAGCTCAGCAGCCAGATGACGATGACTGCCAGTATTTTTAATGACACCAGCTGCGAGGTAACCCTTTAGTTTACCTGCTCGCCGTGGACGGCTCCTGCAAGGCATCCTGCACTTGCTGCTGGCCAAGAGTACGCGCACGCAGCGGTGGTGGTGCTGATGCACAGCAAGTGGTGGGCAAGCGCCCGATCCCTTGGTGTCTGTTGTTTAATGTGACTGGGGACAACGCTGCAGTTACCAGCAAATGCTGTTTCCCTGTTGCCGATGCAGAAGCTGCCATGTTCAAGGATTCTCAGATAAGCCCTATAGATAGTTATTTAAGAGATGGCCTATTGACCTGTATTTGGAAGGTGATGTGGGAGGGTTAGGTGAATAGATAAAGATCCAAGACCACCTCTGCTCGTAGCTGCAGGGCAGAGAACACCCCCCTGAATTGAATCCCACTCTGTATCGTATGAGATGCTGCAGTCTTGACAGACAGCAGCCGAAGTAACCACCAACATTTTCCAGTCTGCCGTGGAAGTCCTAGTCCTCTCCCAGTGGGCAAGGCCTCCCTTCCCATTCTGTAAGCATGGCCTTGGGAGAGACTGCTGTGAGGACGGCAGGCCAGACTGCCTTCATCAGTGAGCTTGGTCAGGGAGAGGAGCGCTGTGCTTGCCACTGGCTTTGAAAGCAGGCAGGCAGTACTCTGTTCATCCCTGAGGCACTACACCTATGTCAGAGGGCAGAATATGGATTCCAGGCTGTTTACTTGAATGTGCTATGAAAGCTCTACCTGGAGTGGGACAAGCACAAGACCCAAGGCCAAGGCAGTCGGCTAGGCAGCGTTATTGCACACATGCTCAAGGAACTGTGTGCAAATGGAGCATGCTTTAATTGGTGTGAAAATGGTCATGGTTGGTTATTTTACTTGTAGCTTACTCAGAAAGCAAGTATTAGCCTTTCCTGTGATGAGGCAGCAACATACAGTTGGGTTCTGGTGTGCCTTCTGGCATGCACCAGCTGTGGAACATGGGATTATCTGGGGGGTTTGTCTTTCTAAGTAGGAGAGGAGGAAAAGAAAGGAATGCTTACAGTCATGAAGAAGGAAGGATAATTTCTGGCTCTTTGTTTTGATGTAGTCTATTCTGACATAGAGTGAAACTCATGCCCTCTGGTTTTCTCATTGTTTGGGAAAGAAGGAACATATTAATTATAATTCCGCACCATAGCCACCAGAGAAAGTGACTTCGACTTAGGCTATCACAAGTTGGGCAGCAGACTGTGGATTTTTATTAGATATAGCAGAGTATTATTTGTGTTTAATTCATATTTCAGAATCTTTTCTCTGTGGCAAATCAGAGCTGCAAATTAAGTATGACTTGACATCCCATAGGCATCCAGTACGTCCTGCTGACTCTCTGCGGCCTCTCACAAAATGAGACTAACAGTAAATGAGAGGCAAGCTAATTTTATCTATTGGTGTTCCTGTGTTGGGATTAATGTCAAAGCAGGACACCATTTTTTGCCACAGGACTCAAGAGCAGGCAATTTTAAAGTCAGTGCTTGAATTCAGCTGGCTCAACGAGGTTCCTTTCCTGCTTCAGGTACTTCAGCTGAATCGGAGACTTGTCAGAGCTGGCTGGAGGCAGTCACTGTGAATAGCCACCAGCGACTGTCCTGGTCCAGACCAGAGGTCCCTGCCTGACAACGGTCAGGAGCAGATGTGAACAGAAGGAATGTTCTGGCAGACTTTATGGACTAAATATTTCTTGCTTCTCTTCCTTGCAGAAAACACCTTCTGCAGCGGTGACCATGTATCGTGGCACAGCCCTTTGGACAACAGTGAATCTAGAATCCAGCATATGTTACTGACAGAAGACCCTCAGATGCAGCCAGTGCAGACTCCTTTTGGGGTCGTTACTTTCCTACAGGTATGACCCAGCAATGTTGCTCTAACCATCACCTTCTGGGCATAGAATGCAGCTAACATTGCATTTCATTTAGCTTTGATAAGCCAGATGCTTATTAGCTTATCTTCCACCTTTCTGCCTTATTTGATTACCATGGATCTCACCTTTGAGTTGTTACTCTGGAGGTATTCAGTAAGCATTTTACCAGGATTGAGCAACGGCACAGTCAGCTCTCAAGATAGAGGTCTATCTGATGGAGAGAAGGTTTACACCTCGAAACAGACCCAGAGTTGTATATTACGTTACTGCTCTGAAATTTCAAGCATGAACATAGAGAAAAAAGCTGAGAGAAACACTTTTAGACTGTAACGTAGAGCTAAATTAAAATTAATTCTATGGCAGTATCAGTAAGTGATCCACTGGTTTGAGTTCCAGGAAAAGAAGTTTGTAGCAGGACTCAGAGTTGCTTTAGCATTGTTTAATGGCAGAAATGTAGCTTGCAGTGTTGACACAAAGATTCTTTAGAGGTTAAATGAGTTTTCCTGTATTGATCTGCTGTTTAAGAAAGGTTCAGGTTTGCTTTGCAAAAGAAACATTTAAAAAATTCCTTGTGATTTAACCCTGCTGTTCAGTGAGGGGAGCTTCCTTGGCCAAACAGGTTTGCTTGCTTTCCCAAAGTCTTTCTCCACAGTGATGTCTCTTAGATATGGGCTGCTTTGGATATTTTTAAATTGCATATGGAGTTACTAACCTTAGTGGAAGAGCTGGCATAGTTTATGCCAACTGCTGATTTCTCCCTGCTCCGTGGAAAAGCATCCATCCCGTGGGAAAATGCATGTGACTGTGTTTTACAATTTAAGCTTCAAGTTGCTCCTATTTGTCCTTGGCTGTAGTTGCAACATGTAAGGGGAAGCTCCATTACCACAGACCTGCACAAGGCAACTGCTGTGCAAAGGCAAAGGCTTCTCTGAATTTTCCAAGGTGCCCAGAAGTCTATGTTTTATCAACAAGAAAGAGGTGGGTGTGGGATTAACCAGTGAAAGGTGAGTTGTGGGACCTGGAAGGAGAGAGAGAACGAAGCTAAGCAGGGTGATTCCTGGCTGTCTCCCCAGTTGGTGCTGCATTGGTCCACATCTCTTCTTTAGTGCCCCGCTGTACCAGATCTTGGCCTCTAATCTTCCTCAACACATATAGTTGACTTGTTTTTCCCCTTTGTTTGATGCTTGTTATTATGCATTTATTTTGACCCATGAGGATAAATGATTGCAAAAAGAAAAGAATGAACACAAAATAATTTCCTGTTTAGAATCTTGCTGTTTGTATGTAATTAGTGAGTGAAGGCCCAGGGAGGGGTGTCCTGAAGCGAGAGTGATTCAGGCTGTTCATGGAGGAAGCCTGGGAGGTGGGTGGGGACGAAGTGCATCTCCAAGGGCTGGGGCCTGAGAAAGTGAGCTCTGCAAGGGGCAGGGGAGGTAGGGTGTGCACTACTGGGTACGTGCTGACGTTGATGGTTTTCCACACAGATGTCTGTCAGTGTAGACATGTGCTTGCAGCAAAGGCACATGATGCGCTTCTGCTTGCTGCTCTTCGGAGCTTAGTTTTCAGTTTTGCTCTTTCCTGATAAAACATCAGTTGAACAGATTTTGACCAAAAATTCAGTGTCATTGGAAAAGGCTTAGACTATGGAGGAAGAAAATACAAGGCCATGGCTAGAATAATTTTTCATGCCAAAGAGTAAATCGTTGTGCTCAAAGGCACAAGCCAGCAGTTGATGGATCAGGAAGAAACTGCCACCTTCTATCAGCTGAAGGGTGTTTCACCCCTTCATTTGAAGCGGCTGATCTCAGCTGCTCTGAGAGACACATCTGGTATTGCTCAGTGCAGCAGCTCCCACCCTGAAAAGCAAACACATCCTGCCTTATACAGGAAGGCAGAAGTCTGCAATTGCCTGCAGTGACGAGTGGATTATGCGATGTGTAAGCAGCTTTACTTTATGGTGCCGGGTAAGATGTAACCAGTCAGCAAACTGAGTTGGTCAAGGAATTCTGAGCACCAAAGCACTCCCTTGTGGCAGCGAGTCCCTTGCCTGACTGAAATTGCTGGTGCAGTATTGCATTTGCCCCTAGCAACTGGCTGACAGAGCAGTGTTTTGCATGTGCCCAGACTCTAACCTGTCCTGTCTTGTGTGAACTAGATTGAAAAGTGAGAACAGACTAGTGGGTCTTCAGTAAACCCTGATTTGTCACCAGGCCCTCCTCATAGTTAAGTTCTCACATGCCTTGCAAGATTAAATGTTATGTGACCAAGGCACTCCACATGGTAAGTGTAGGGAGAGGGCACAAGGAATTGCAGAAACCCTTTGTTGTCTCAGGCCTTACTTGTCCTCGCTCATCTAGTCAGTTTAAAGAAGTAGTGCCTCTCTGTATCTGCACTGTTTGATCCAGCACCACGTGGTACATTTTCTCTTACAGTTCTTGCACGGTTCCCATCTAGTTCAGTATCTCTGTTTTAATTTATTCCAGATTGTTGGGGTTTGCACTGAGGAACTGCATGCAGCTCAGCAGTGGAATGGGCAAGGCATCTTGGAACTGCTTCGGACTGTCCCTGTGTAAGTGCTCATATAGCCCATATAGGGGAGCATTCCCATAGAGAACAAGTCAGTTGTTTATTTTCATTAACAATCTTTAACTTGTTGATGGAACTTACTTAATCCTGTGCTGTAGCAAGAGATGGGAATTCATTGCAAATCTGTTCTCACGCACAGACACTTACATGCCAAATTAATGCATGTGGAAGTCCACATGTTCAGGGTGAAACAGAATGAGGTCTTGAAAGCTTAATTTCCTTCCTCTTATGCCTGCAGCATTTTTGCATTGGTTTTTCCTGAAGAGCTAGGGTAAGTGTTACTGGTGACCTCTCAGTGTAGTTCAAAAAAAAGGAAGGAGAGGGTCTGATTTACAGTGCCTGGCAAAGCTTGGGTACTGTGTGAAAGTGAAAAAATTATCTCAAACTGGCCCCACTTTCAGAACAGGAGGAATGTTCATGCAAGTGAAGTTCATTGTTGTTTTTCCCATGGCAAAACAAAGATGTTGTTGGGTTAAGGAGGAGATGGGGTTTAAATGTTAAATGATATGCTGACGCTTTACTTGCTGCCAGGTTACAGCTAAACTTTTTTGGCTTGCAGGTGTTCTGTTTAAATATTTTTTTCTTGAGTTTAGTGGAAGTTATTGCTGTGAGATTGTAGCTCAAAAGATATTTTTTTTTTTAACAAAATGGTTCTGAATATGTGTTCCTGGACACAATAGTACACTCTAGTGTCACAATGGCCTTTAATTGATTGATTATTTGAAGAGCCTTTGCTGCTGGACTTCATAAACTTTAATTTTTCCCTTTTAGGCACAAGTGCATACAATTAGTGTGAATGCCCTAGAATAGAGTGAATTTGTCCAGCTGCAAGCTTTGTTTCTGGGACCCCAAGACAATAAACACTGCCTGCAGCTCTCTTGGCTCCTCTAAGTCAATACAGATACAGCGCCCCTCTCCTCACTCTGTTGTCATGTTGGTTTTTGGCTTTTGTGCTGTGGTACAAGCACCTTTCCAAGGATAAAATGAAATGCAAATGTGCATGATTTGAAGGCAAAGCTGCAAACTACTAAGCCACTGATGTAGAGTCAGGGTAGGAGTCTCTTGCATCCCAGTGAGGAACTGAAGCTGGTCACACCTCTGCAGTTAATTAACAGCTTCCAAAGTGATGTAAAAAAAGTGTGGCTATCGATGCATCTGAAAAGCTATAAAATATTAACTTTTATTGCTCCCACTCCAAGTGCTTTAGGAGACTGTAACACAGACAAGGCCAGAGGAGGGGGCTTTTGACTGCAATAACAGAGTCTCTCATGAAAAAAAAGTGAAACTTTTTATGGCAATTCCAAAAGACTTTACTTCAGATGAAAAGCACCATCCAAGACTGAATTCTGTAGTCTGCCTGCACTGTGACCCAAAGTAAAGTCTCCAAGTAGTTCATCTTCAAAATAATCTGTTTTCTATCACCTTTGTTGGGAAACGTCTTGACCCTTCCAACTTTTATTGCTAATGAAAACAAAGCTTTCCCTGAACCATCTGAGTACTCAGCCATTAAGTACCAGCTGGGCAATTGTGAGGATATTTATCAGAGCAATAAGCTTTTTATGGTACTGCACCTGACTGCCGATCTTGCAAAAGGTGCAGTCCCATTGAGACCCGGCTGCATCTTCAGATACGTAATAGAGGTATAAATCTTGACCCCATGCCTTGCCCATCTTTCTTAGACCTAGGCTACACTGGATTTCTCAGTCCCAATTCAGTTACCTGTAAGATTAAAACTGGGTTCAGTCTTGTATGAGTCCACACAGGGCATAGCCTGAGTCAATCCTGACTGCTCTGCAAGCCTTGGTGGTGCCAGACACTAGACAGATAACAGGTATGTCATGGAGGGTTTTCATTATGTGTTTGGGAAATGTAAAGGACAAATAGATGCTATGGGATGTATACACAACATAGAGGGGCTTCTAGGCTTGTTTTAGACTCTTGTCTTGTGCTTCTTTCCAGTACAGGTCCACTCTGAGGACTCTGTTGGGGAGTACTAGCTAAAGTGCTTGCTTGGTTCATTTCCTTTCTTTCCTTCTTTCTTTGTAGAGCTGGAGGCCCCTGGTTGATAACAGACATGCGAAGAGGAGAGACAATATTTGAGATTGACCCACATCTGCAAGTATGTCTTTAGTTTATAAAACATCACATCGTTTGCAGTAGGCAGGGAGAAATCATTTAATGGTATAAAACAGTTTTATTATTTTCTGTAAAGGTGCTGTGATCTTCTCAATGTTTGCAATAATCCTGGAAAAATCTTAGAGACTCCTTTTGCCCTCTCAGAGGTGGTTCAAGAGTGCACATGTCCAGACCCAGGTGGATGGCAGCTCTAGTACAAAAGTTAGAGAAGGGAAACCAGGAAAAGTGGATCTCATATATGAGACAAATTGGTAAGATTTGGACTGAATGTTTTAAAAGGGAGGAAAATAGAAGAAGATAAAGAACGTAGAACAACACAAGATTTAGAGATGATAGATCAGGAAATTCCTCCTTCATTTTATATGAAAGCATAAGGAGATAGAACATGCAGGAAACTCAAAACCAACTAAGTATTCTTTTTTTTTCACAGCAAATGTGACAGTGTAGCTCATTCCTGTAGGATGTCACTTGAGGCCAAGTAGTTAGTGTGGTCTGAGGAAGAATGGGAAGCCAAAAGTATCTCATGCAGTTATTAATAATCTATGCAGAAGATATATTAAACTTTAATCTTTAGAGTTCAAGTTAATTTCTGAAATTTAAAGATCAGAATAGGACCTCTATGGAGAGGTTCCTGTCCCATGGACTACTGCTGATCCATGCATTTGGGAGACAGTTCTGCATCCCTTCAGCAGAGTTATGGTACTGGAGTACATGGGTCCCAGGCAAATCCGGTGTGGTGCTGACCTTGTTTCAGTGAATCACTGAGTATTTTCCTTTAACAGAGAATTTATGGCTTAGCCTGGTAGGGCACGTGCATATGTGCACGTTTTGTACAAGCTATTGCGTTTGCTTATAGTCTGCGTGTCTGTATCTGATTACCCTCAGTTGCCTCACAGCATCTTTTATTTTGAAAGCTTAAGAACAAAACCAAATTTTATTTTTACTGGTTTTAAGGATTTGTTCATCTAAAATAATCCCAGTCTGAGAGACACACATAAAAAAACGTTCCACAAATGTCCCACAATGTGGGAGCTAATACAACTGCAAGTCCTGTAAAGTTTTCAGGCGCTTCAAAATTTTGCCCTCTCCCCTCCTGGAGGGTGTTTCTGTTCTCTGCACACTGGTGATTCCTAATGATAACAGGGTTTTCTTCAATTTACTGCAAATTAAAAGTAGCTCAGCTTACTGGAATCTGAGTCAGCCAAGGCAAGTTAAGGCAAATAGAGTACCTCTGCCTCACCAGTGCGTCCTGCCACTGAAA